TAATTGCCCGACAGGCCACGATCGCCAACAGGCATATCACCGAGTTCGAAGAACATCTTCGTGAGATAGAGGAAGAATTGTAAAAATGACGACCCCCACCCCCAATGATCTAAGTTTTTCTCGGGCACCATCTCCAGAGCTTCCCGCACGTCTCAATATTGTTTTGCAACCCCCAAATCCTATCATTCGTCAAGCCCTTGCCGACACAGCGCCCCCAAATGCGAACATACCCGAAAATGTGAAGAATTGGGTAGTTGATCTGGTCACAAACGTGGTGGAAGAGATGCGTCAACAAATGGTGGCGCACTATGAAAATCTCATCCAGCGTCAAGCGCATACAATGGAGCGTAACACCACGGAGTTTCACAATCGGACGGTCTTCTTAGACCAACATCGTCAACAATCCGAGTCTCGAATCTCAGACTTGGAGAAAACCTCGTCAGCCTTATTCGAGGACAACAAGGCTACTAACGAATCGTTGGTGGCATTTGACGATGAGATCAAGGATCTCCAAACCAGAATGGAAGACCTGAAGAAATCACACGATCGACTTCGCGCATGGGCATCAACGCAGGGACGGAAAGCAGGGCAAGGCGGTACCAATGTCGACGACACGGACGACGACGATGAGCCGTCGTTTGGTCGCAAGGGTAAAGGCGTAAAAATTGACCAACCAGAAAAATATGGTGGCAATAAGGACGGAGTCAATCCCGACGATTGGCTCGAACAAGTAATGCTCTGGTTAAAATATACCGGACATATCAAAGACGAGTCCAAAATTATGTCTACCCTCTTGCTCCTGAAGGGAGGAGCACGCGAATACATGCGGCATTGGATTACCGAAATCAACGAAAACAACAAGGCACCAGGAACTTGGGTGGAGTTCGTCTCAGAACTTCACATGGCATATGAATCATTGGATAAGGATGACAAGAAGCGAACGGAGTTAGAAGCCTTCGTCAAGAAGGATCATCGAGACTTCTGAAAGTTCGCAGAAGAATTCCGTCCAAAGGCAACCGGTACAGGCTTCTCGGATCAAGACTTGATCGAAAAGATCAAGAAACATATTCCGGAGAAAACGTGGCTGCTCATGCTGGCGGACACGACTAAGGACAACTGGCCCAAGAAGTGGACCGAGTTCCTTACATTCGCACTCCGGATATTCACATCACTACAACGAGAAGGCCACCATGCCAAGGCCGAAACCAAGGACCCGAATGCTATGGAGGTTGACGCAGTCGGGAAGAAGGGGAAGAGTAAATCGGGCAAAGCGCGAAGCGTGCAAGACGACAAGTTGGTATGTGCCAACTGCAAGAAGAACAAGCCAACGTTCTTCAAATCGTCAAAACGTTTCGGCAAGTATTGCACCGATTGTTTCAAACTGGACCATGTCAAGAGACGGATTGAGAAGGAGAAGGAGGCAGCCGCGAAGAAGAAGGATGTGAAAAAGAAGGACGACGTCAGGAACAAATCCAAGTCGTCCAAGACGCGACAAGTAGCATCGGATTCCGCTTCATCCGATAGCGAAATGGACACGGACAGTGGTCCCGAAGTCAAGAAGCACAAGAGCTCTTCCTCTAAGACTAAGGGGAAGGGTAGGAGACAGCTGCGCATATCAGCGACTGCAGCATCCACTCGGAAAGCGAGCCTGATGCATCCGAGTCGGACGAAGATTTCGCCGCGATCCTCTCGAGGCTCAGGCGCCTGAGGGCGAATGGATCCAGTTCATCAAGGAAGGCGGGAGAGGGCTCTTCAAGGAAGGATCGGAAGGGTTTTCTCAAAGGGGATCTGTAGGCAGCTCGTCAGAGTCCCCAGAACATTACAATATAAGACCTGTACATCTAGCACCCGAATCAGACACCTCTGTAGATCGTCGCAACGCAGAGGATGATAATGTAACAATAAAGAATTCATCTCCGAATTTATCATCATTCTATTTACCAGTTACATTATGGGTGTACGGCAAAAAATCGAGCGCCGAAGCTCTAGTCGACTCAGGAGCATATTCCATGTACATCAGCAA